TGATATGGATCAAAACTCAGAAGGTATTAGAGTGGTTTTAAATATCTCTTTGATTATGCTTTAAGTTTTTATTTTAATATATAATTTTTTAACATTTCAATAATTTTTATTTTTATTTTTTATAAATCTTTCTGACGATAACAATTGATCTACTTCAATCTCTGATTTTCACCATAATTTCAATCGGTTAGAAGCTTTTTATTGTGTGTGTAGAGGAAAGACTCCCATTTAATTTGATGACATCACCATCAAAACCAGACTGAAAACGACAGGAGCAAAAAAAACAGAAGAATGAACCAAGAGTAACAGCAGGAGCTACAGTAGGGGCTTCGAATTGGAGAAAATACAGTTAAAGCTATTTGTTTATAGCCAAAAATAAAATGGGATAGAGAACAGAGTTAAAAGTTAGTTGCTACAGAAGTGCCTTTGAGAATTTTTTTTTTCTTTATGATATTTATAATTTTTTGGTTTTAGGCCCCATCCACTCAGACTGGATTACGTTTAACTGCAACAATATTTTGTTGTTTAAGCTGTGTTTACAAATGGAGAATGCTTTATGTACGGAGCCCCGGAACTGACATGGTTGAAAAAATAAATAAATGTAACATGCGCAAGAAATACCTTTTCAATCCTACAAAATATTATTTGCCTACACTAAATACTAAGGTGTGCACAAAAAGTGTTTTGCCATGTTAAAAACATCTGGGGATTTAACCTTACCTCCCTTTTTCGAATTCCATTTTTAAAAATTCTCTTTAGAGTCTAAAGTTGTTCATTTTCCCTCTACAATTCATCCTTGGTGCAGCACAGCAATGACTACATTTTATTCCCAAAAACACCTGCTGAGTGGAAAATCATACTACTAGTACTGGAGAATCGGCTTCCTAATCCCCCCCTTTTTTTTAAGCTGTTCATGTAAATGTAGCTTATTTGTCTTTGTGTAGATCAGGCCTTGATCTTGTATTATTTTTCTTTTTCTAGATTCTCAAGAGACCAACACTGATATGGATGGTATCTCAGCAGGTATTTTTATTGTTAGAGATATTTCTTTGATAATGTTTTAAGTTGTCTTTGTTTTGTTTTTTTATATAAAGCATTTGCACATATTTAGAGTTTCTTTTTTTTAATTTACATCTTTTTGAAGATCAAAATAAAGAGAGTGAGATTGAATTAGAATCAATACATTTTTACTGTATCTTGCCTATTCACAACAAAATATAATCTCAAAGTTACTTTGAAGACAATCAAATCCAGTTTATTTCTTGAAAATATCATCAGATGATTGATTCCATTTCAAATACTGTCAGAATAAAAAGATTGCACCCAATCCCTGATATTCACCATAACTCCTATTGGTTAGAAGCTATATATTGTGTCTAAAGAGGACAAGCTACCTTTTGAGATCATGACATCTCCACTGAAACCAAGGCTCAGACCGACTGGGGCCGAAAACACAAAAAAAACACAGAAGCACTTAACCAGGAGTAGCAGCTGGAGCTACTGTAGGACCCATTAATTTTGGGGGAAATACAGTTAAATCTATTTGTTTATAGCCAGAAATAAAATCTATGGGATGGAAAACAGAGTATATATAGATAGTTGCTATAGAAGTTTATTAAGAAGCCTTATATTATTTCCTCCATCCTGTTTTATATCTTTTTTTTTTTCTGATGTTTTAATATTTTTCTTTTAGTTCTCTCTACCGAAGCCAACAGTGAAATGGATCAAGACTCAGAAGGTATTGTTATGGTTAGAGATATCTCTTTGATGTTGCTTTGTGATGTCTGTATTTGAATATAGAATTTTTTTTTTATTTAAAATTATTTTTTTCTAATCTCTTTAAAGATGATAACAGGGAGGTGTCAGAGCAACAATCTGAAGGTGAGATTGTTTGGATTCAGTTTAGTTTTGCTGTATTTTACCAATTCACATTAAATGTGATCATTACTTACGTTAGAAGACAGAAAAACCCAGTTGATTTCCAGAATCATAAGATCATTCCTATTCAGACATCTTCAGATTTAAATAAATTACACAGGATCTAATTCATTCCTAATCCCCCATTTAAATTGATTACATCTTCACCAAAACAAGGCCTGGAATGACTGAGCCAGAAAACAGAAAAACATAGAAGGACTAAGAGTAGCAGCAAAAATTATGGTCTTCATTTTGGAAAACCCACAGTTTAAGTTATTTGTTTTCCGCAATAAGTAAAATAGAAGGGAAATAACACATGTAAAGTTAACTGCTACATAAGCTCAGTTGGAAGTATTTTCCTATGTCATCTACTCTGTTTTACATCATGTTTATTTGTTTCTCTTATATTACATATTATACTACATAAAGTCCTATTTTTCTTTTAGTGGTTCCTGAAGAAACTACCTCTGACATGGAGCAAAATGGTATTGTTATGCTTATAGACATTTCTTTGAATACAGTTTATGTTGTCTTTGCCTTGATATAACACTTTTACACTTTAAAAATTAAACACCTTTTAAATCCTTTTTTCCTTTTACAGATGATATGATTGAGAACTCAGAGGAAGAACCTGAAGGTGGGTGAGGTTGGATTCAGTTCAGTTTTATTGTATCTTGCCAGGACACAATAAAATGTGATATCCTTGTACTTCAGAAGACAAACAAAAAAAATTCATCAGATCCTTTTAATCCAAACAAATTAAAATAATTTACACACAATCCAATTTAATTCATCATGCTATGATGTTTTATTTTGTGTTTTATACTATTTTTGTTTTGATCTTGTATTATTTTTCTGTTTGTTGTTTCTAAAGGAGGCAACACTGATACGGACCAAACCCCAGAGGGTATTGTTATGGTTATAGAAATCTCTTTGATGATGCTTTATGTTGTCTTTATTGTGAAACAGCATTTTTACACGTTTCAAATCTTTTTTTGAATTTTTCTAAAGTTAATGACAGCCAGGTGACAGAGGAAGAACCTGAAGGTGAGATTGTTTGGAGTCAGTACAATTAAACTGTATTTTGCTAATTCACAATGAATTTGATGTTAACATACTTTAGAAGCCAGATAAAGCCAAATGATTTCTAGAAAATATAACTAGGTCCTTTCAATTCAATTGTTGAATTTATTAAAAATAAATACAGCATGATCAAATCTACTCCTCTTTTCGTACCATAATGCCAATTGGTTTGAAGCATTTTATTGTGTCTGGAGAGGCAAAAAATACCAAAACTCCTGGAAAATTTGCTATATAAATTTAGGTGCTACAGAAACTACTTAAGAAGCCTTATTTCATTCATAATGCTTTATAATGTTTTTTATTTATTATTTTTTTTTATTATCTTGTATGAATTTTTTTTGTTGTTGTTTTTTCTCCAGTAGCAGACAGTGATACGGATAAAAGCTCACAAGGTATTAGTATGTTTTAAAATGCAGCTTTAGATTCATGGTGTTTTTGTATTAATTTACTAATTTTAAATATTTCTCTTTCCTTTTTACATCCTATTAAAGATGATAAGGAGGAAACTAAAGGTGAGATTGTTTGGATTCAGTTCAGTTTTATCTTGCCAATTAACACTAAAATATGATGATTATGTTCTTTAGAAGGGAGACAAACCCGGTTGGTTTCCGGAAACCTAATGATCTAATTAAATTCCCCTTTTTAACATGATGACAATTGGTTTGAAGGTTTTTATTGCGTATATATCTCGGGGATGGACAACAGAGAACATATGATTATTTTCTGCAGAAGATCCTTTGGAAGCCTTTATCTATGTCATCTACTGTGTTATACATTACTTTTGTTTTAATTGGTTATATTTACATAAATAAAGTCCTATTTTTCTTTTAGCTGCTTCTGAAGAAACCACCAATGTTATGGACAATTTAGAAGGTATTATTATGGTTTTATATATATATATATATATATATATATATATATATATATATATATATATATATATATATATANATATATATATATATATATATATATATATATATATATATATATATTTGATTATAATTAGTTTTATTATAGCCTTTTTACACCTTTCGTTTTTGTTTTTAGGAGAGGATCTTTTTGAAGAAGAGAGCGAGGAGTCAGAGAAAGAGCCCAAAGGTGAAATTTTTGCGATTCAATTCAGTTTTAGTGTCTCTTACCAATTCACAATAAATGTGATCTCAATTTACCTTAGAATGGACAGAAACGTGGTTCATTTCCAGAATCATTTCATCAGATCATTTCAATTCAAACATCAACAGATTTAAATAAATTCGACGTGATATAATCCAGTCCTGGTTTTTCACTTCATGATTGTTTTTTAATATACGATTTTTAAATATTTATAATCCTTTTTTCTTTTTTAAATCTTCCTAAAGATGACCAGGTGACAGAGGAAGAACCTGCAGGTGAGATTGTTTGAATTAGTTTGTTTGACTCTGTCTTACCAATTCACAATTAATGTGATCATTATGTACTATAGAAGACAGACAAACCACAACAGATTTAAGTAAATAACATATTATGTAATTCAATCCTGGGTTTCACCAAAATGCCAACTGATAATAAGCTATTTATGATTTGTGGAGAGAAAAAATGAAACTTTTAAAATAATCGTATCTCCACCAAAACCAGGCCTGGAATAACTTGGGCAAAATCACAGAAGCACTGGTCCAGGAGTAGCAGCAAAAGGCTGTAGAAAAATTTATAACATTTTTTATTTTTTTGCTTTAAGTAAAACTCATGGGATGGAAAGCAGATTACATATAGTTAATTGCAACAAAAGCTCCCTATATTATTTAATTCATATTATTATAATTGTCATAAATATGTTTTATTTTTCTTTTAGCTGTTTCTGAACGAGTCAACACTGATATGGATCAAAACTCAAAAGGTATTAATATGATTATAAATACTTCTTTTAATTATTGTTTTAGCTTCTTTTTGTTATTAGGTGAATTTGTAGCTTTAAATGACTTTTATGTTTGAGCGTCTGTGTTCATGGTTGGATGTTTCCTTGTTATGGGCTGGCAAACTATCCATTGGGTACACGGCCCAAAATGATCCAGAGACAAGAACAGATGGATAGATGCTATAATGTAATCTATTTTTCTCCAATGCCGATTGGTTATTTAAGAAAACTCACCCTCTGCATCGAGCAATTGACTTTACAGTTTAGCTTTCTTCTGAGCGTACATGTCAGACAGTGGAAATTTCCACAATCAAAAAGATATATTAAGAATGTAATCACCTCAAAAAATAAAACTTTATTGTTTCATTTGAGAATATAGGACACCATCAGTAGTCCTTTACATTTAAAAAATATACCATCACAAATGGCCACGAATTGAAAAATGAACTGTTAAGTAATTTGTTCAAGGATGTGCTTTTCCATGTTAAACAGTTTTTTATTTACTCCAAACTTCCCTGCTTCGCTTGTTGCCAAAGATCGTAATCTTTCTCTTAAAGTATGCGGCTTACATCTAGATGAATTGACGTGTTTACAGTAGTGCTGGTAGGACTGACATTTCCTGAACAATCACTTAAAATGCAAATAGCGTCTGATGCTGTTCAAATAGCTTTGTTAAAACCAACAAACTAGTTTTTGCTGCTATTCTTCAACAATAAGGTGGAGATATTTCTCTTAAATATCTCTGGCAACATAAATGTGGTCCTGTCCTGTTTGCTGCCTCTGTAGCCTTGAATAGTTTACTTGTTTCTTTTTGTTTTTTTCTTTCATTTTGAGGAGTTGTCGAGATACATATATGTATTCCCCTAGGAGGCATGATATTTTGAATAAATTGTTTGTAGTTCCAGGATATACTAAATAACCTTAATAATATATATATATATATATATAATATGCAGTTTATAAAGAAAGTTTCTGTTAAGATTCTTTTGTATGGCAAATTAATAGTGGCACATGTGCATTTGTAAGATAAAACATTTGGTTTGGTAGATTTTTCCTGAACTGTATTAAAATGATCAAACTACAGATTCGATTTTTCTGTATAGATTTTTTTCTGTTGCTATAAAGAGGGTTGCATTTTAGTTTTTCAACAGAGAAAGTAAATGTGAAGAGCTTTGTATACATTTGTTCAAGTCAGTTTAACTGATATGTTTAGTGTTAAGACATGATAAAGTTTGAGTACATGTGTGTTTTAAAATGAGGATGGATATGCTACCAATTAAGATTACAAAACAAAACAAAAAACAGAACAATGCTGCATTATAAAGCATGAAGTTGTCGTAAAGTGACAATATTGAAATTTTTCATTTTAATTTTACAGAAGAAAGCTTTGAAGAGTTTGAAGGTAACCAGTTTTTGTATTTTATTCATCTGGCTTCTTTGTCATGGTTTTTGGAAAAAAAGACTATTTTTAGCCCCTTGACGCCTGAGTTTATATATGTGTGAGTCTACATGTGTGTTTATATATATATATATATATATATATATATATATATATATATATATATATATATATATGTATATATAAATATATATATGTGCCAGATTATTTTTTTTTTACTTTCTATTATTTTTAAACTAAATAGAATGTAGGTATATTTTTAGTTCTACACAACAGTAACATTATAAAAGTAACCAAGCCAAATACATTTGCTTTGTTTTATAATTTTGTTTAATGATTTGTTTTTTTTTTATAAATTCAGTGTAAAATCTGATAGTTTGTATCTTTTATTGAAACACTTTGAAATCTGAGATGCTTAATATATAGTTAGAAATTTCATAAGAACCACTTTTTGTTGTTGTTTCTTCAGACGTCAGCGAGGAATCATCTGAAGAGTTTGCTCCTACCGGTAAACACTCATTATTCTGTTTAATCAAAGGCCTCCATAACTGAAATGCTTTCTGCATATATTTTGTGTCACATGTAGTCGATATATATGTAGTCGATATATATATTATATATTAAATTATTAAATCCAAAGGAGTACTTTACTAGTCCTCGTTGTTTACTTCTTGTATTAGGCCTAACATTCATGCAGGTTTATCCTTGATTCACTTAATGTCTCATTCTTGTCCAACATGTTTATCTTTACAGTTGGCCAGTCTGACCGTAAATGTTTTTGTCTTCTGGTTACCTGCTGGTTTTCTTCCTTCTTCCTTCTCTTGCATGCCATTGCTTCAGAGCCTATCTAATCTAAAAACAATACAGGTGTGACGGGGAGAAAAGTTTCTCATAGCTTTACCTGGAACTTCCCCGTGAAAATTTTTTAAAACTTCAAACTTTTAGGGTTGTTTAAAGCTATGGAATCTAAAAAGGAAATAAATGCCTCTTAAAAAAAAAAAAAAAAGATTAGCATCAGCTTAAGAATGCTTCACACTATTAAAGATTCTGTGTTTTAGATCACATACCACATCACATTCCTGCCCTTAAAGTTTTTAACATTATACTCCTTTAGACTTTATGTCTTAATATATAAATTACATTTTTAAAACCAAAACTGTTGAACAGAAAAGCCTTGAACATGTGCCGCAACATGCTTTGGGTTTGTTAAATAGAAGTGATAAAAACCCAGCTTTAATAAAATGAAAAGTGTTAAATTTCTCCTCCTATAGTTCCAAAATTAGTCATGAGCCTTAACCTTTTATAAAATCAGTCAATTAGGATCTCTTTTATTGCACATAGCTAAAACTGACTTTCTTATTTCTCTTTCAAACCTTTAATATATGTTGATGCAATAAAATTAATTAATGTTTTTTTAGCCATTCTGTCGTTTAGTTTAATTTAGTTCCTTTCTGTCAGACAAATGTAGCCAGACTCGCTGTCTGGCTGCAGTTTAATTATATGACTGAAAGTAAAAAGAGATAAATGGATTTTTAATGCAAGAAAATATAGCTTCAACGCAAATTGAGTTTTAATTTTGTGGGGTCCTTTTGCTGTACGGCGCAGTACAATATCTGTTGTTGGGGGAGTCACAGTGGAAGAATTGGATTGACTCAAACCCCAAACAACATGAATACCAAAAAAACAATATTATCAATATCTTCTGATTATCATTTAGAGCAGTTGTTTTTTAATCTATACATTTAATTTTGATCGTTGGGAAAATATTGCAATATATAGTGATATTGCAATATCGTGTTAATACCGTATTGTGACAGAAGTATCGTGACATGTATTGTATCACAACACCCATGCCAAAATCACCCCTACTATGTTCTGCCTTCCTGTTATCCTGTCAAAGTCTTGCTCTCTTTCTCTCTCCCAATAATTTAATCTACTGCAGACATATCTCTACATCCTCTAGGAAATACAGCTTGCCTCAAACAGCTTCTTGCATGTCTGTGTTTTGTAAACAAAAACAATTTTAACCTTAAGCTTTTTTTTTTTACTAACTCTAAAAACCATCTAAAGTGAACACACGCTGTTGTTAGTGCGAACTGGTAGCGTTTAGATAAGTTTCCCTTTTCTATGTGAGGACTTTAAGCCTTTAGCTTCTCTTAATTATCAATGCTAATCTCTCTTCTCCGCCTGTTTTTTTTTTTCCTTGTTTTTTGTAGACGATTTTGAAGATCAGGTTAAAGCAGATGTTCGCGGTGAGTCAATGTCATTATCGAGTTACTTTTTTTTTTTTTTTTTTACATTTTTAGCTGTTTATCATCAAAGTAACCATAAAGAAATACACACAGTGGGTTACAGCTGCTCGAAAATCGCCACTGACATCATCTATATTTTTGAAACCACACTCAAAGCCTAATACTGCTACACCAGTTTTTTTAGTTACGAGAACTGAGTTGATTTGCTCGTTGCTTATAACAAACCCCTCTACAAAAAGGGAAATTTCCAAGGTTTAATTTATTTCAACATGTTGTATTGTAATCGCATGTTAGTATTCTACATCAAATACATACCATTATCAAAAAAAGGAAAAGCATTGGAAGCCTAAGAGCAATACTTTGTGGTTTTGGTCCAATTTTTATCGTCATTATTGTTAGCTGATTTGGGACTGGTGCACTTAAAAGCTATCCATTGGATAACGATTTTTCATCTTAATTAAGGTTTAAAAATTCAAATGTTGTTATCAAATATACAAATATCTATTGTTTCTTTTGATTTCCCTCAAAAGTCCGAATCATGGAGGTTTCTACTCTTGTGAACGCACAAAGTGCGTTTCGTTAATCCTGGGGTTTTTTGTGTTTTTTTTTTTTTTTTTTTTTTTTTTTTTTTTGCATGCCTTGTACAATATATATAGCAGTTAATAGGACCAGATATAAACAACAAATCGCAATGGGAAAAAAAATCTGTCAAATCACAGATTTTGTCTTTTATTTTTCATTTACCATGTTGTAAAAATTATTTAAATGTAGCAATTTTAAATGGCTAGCTTTACCAAACTGCCTTCCTCAACTTTGAGAGGAATCTCTGCTTTAACACACATGAATCATATGCTAATCCCACTAAAGAGGGATTCATATAAAAGATTTAGGACACTGACTCTTGATGACTGAAATTTGACACCCCTGCTCCAGGGGAGTGCTTCTAAACTCTGAAGCTGCCTTATTTGAAATAACACCAAATTGTGTTTTAACCCCAACATTATGTTTAATTCACAGAATCTGACAAATCTCTGAAGGATGATGATGATGCCGATGATGATGATGATGATAAACAGGATACAGGTGCAATGAGTGAGGACATAACAGAGGACGCTTCTCTGCAGAAGTCAGAGGAGGAGGATGAAGAAGTGAAAAGGGAGAAGGAAGAAGAGGTGAAGGAGGAGGTTTCTCAGAATGATAACAGCAACGAAGACCAAACCAACCCTGACAATATGTCGGAAACGGAGGACATTTTCTCAGATGAGTCCATTGAAGGTAAACAGAGATAGGTTGATAATTCAGACTTTACTGCAAAGAATTTGAAGTGCCTTGTAAACATATTTACACCCTTTAAAGGTGGCATAGAATGATTTTAAAGAGTATTGGTCTCTGAATAGGGTGTGTAACATTGGTTGGGCTGAAAATGGCATATTTGCTGTTCTATGGGCCCTAATGCAAGCCTAAAAGCTCTAGAATGAAACGACAGGTTTTCATCCGTTTATGGTATGCTCATGAGTATTTAGATGACCTGTGCGCGGACTGGTTGTTTCACAACGAGTGATGCTGCTGAGCAAAGACGCATCATAGCAACAAGCACTTATTCACTGAAACATTGAAATTGTTGAGTAGGGTGACCCTTTTTCATACCTAAAAAAATGTCTGGGAGGAATTTCAAAATCGTCCGGAATTTTGGACGACTACAGTGCAGCATGTAGTCGAAACAGTCCGGGCACTCGTATCGAGCCGTCAGTTCCGGGGCTGATCCGGGAACCCCGGCGGACCGGGGCAGGGAGCCAGCGGGGGACGGAACCCGACCCTGTGATGGTAGCCTGGACACCGGTGGCCCTGTGCTTCTGATAGACTATAATCCATGCCTGTCGAGTCTTCGGATCATTGGGAAGAATGAAAAATTTAATATAGCAAAAGCTCTCAGTAGAAATAGTTTGTGTCTTTTAATGCTTTTTAATAATTGGACATTTAAAAGCCCAGAAGAACATTGACCAGAGAAGCTGCCCAGATGTGTATGTTCATGATGGAGGAACTGCAGAGATTCAAAGAGGGGTTAATCAGAGAATTAGGAAATTAAAATGTTTTAAGGCTAAATATTGAATCCATCATATTGGCTAAAAAGGGTAATTCTGTTGTCCGAACCTCAATAACAATAAAGACATTTCAGTTCCAACATTTTATAAGTAAAAATATTAGGATTTCTTCGGCTATAGTATTACTTAAGAATGTGCAATGGACACTTCTGCCTCTGTCAAAACAAATTATAATGTTTTGCAGTTAACATGTATGATAGTTTTATTTAGTTTGCATCTCTTAGAGGGTCATTTGAGGGTTAAATATATTTTGTTGAAAGATAACAGGAGGATCTAATGTCTCAGTTATGCAAATAATTTAAAGCTTCTCCACAGACATGAGAGAAAATAAATTAAACAGACAATATTACAACCATACTTACATAGCAAAATATTTAAAAGCTAAAGGAGCTAAAAGCAAAAGAATCAAAATAGATGCGTAATGCTAAAGGAACTTCTTTCTGTTGCAGCACCAACTTCTGACAATGTCCCGGTTGACGAATCCACTCCCACAGATGGTATATTTCCTTATTTCATTTTTTTTTTTCATTTTTTTTTTTTACTTGCATCTATCACTTTAAACATAACCCTTGATTTGAAAAATCTGGTTTGTGCTTTTTCTCTAAACTTATTTATATTATAAGAAATTACTGTGTTATAAGAAAAAAGAAAACAATGTATCAGCACTTGTTATGCAAGCAAAAGTAAATTTGTGTTTTCTTCTAATAGCTGGAAAATAGATTAACAGACTGGTCCGTGGAAGCCCTCCAACTCCAGGTATAGCTATTTAAGATAAGGCAATAAAACATTTTACATTTTGTTTATCATATAGATCATTACTTTACAATTTAATTGCTGCTTTTCCTGAAAACTAAAATTAATTAAAACTGAGCCTATTTCTTTGAATATAAAAGTACTTTTTTTTTTTTTACCTGTTCTAGTTATGTACACAAAAACTTCTGTGTATTGATTAAAAAAATGTTTGTCGTAGACCCACAAAACAGTTGGGTGTGACTATCTTAAGGTAGTTGGACTAATCTAAAATTTAAACATCTAAGTTAGAACTTTAAGAGGAATTTAAGGAGCATTCATTTGCAAAGCAACTGGCTATAGCTTCAAAGACTTGCCAGTTTTGTGGGTTTTATTTAAGTTGCAAAACTGTACTACATAAAGATGTGTAAATGAGAATTCTGATTTTGTTTCCAAACAGAATGAGCCCCCGGCCCCTACGGTGAACTACTGCTGCCATGGAAACTACAACTAAACTCAGCCGTCTCTTTCCTCCTTTCTTTTTGATTTGAGGCTGCTTTTATTTCATAAAGGGATATTAGAAAAATATCTGCCCTCCAATTTTGAGGTGCCCTATAATTTTAGCTCTTTTTCTTACCTGTCTGTCTGCAGAAATATTAAACCAGCAACTTATCTCAGATTTGCTTTGTGTGTCTGATTTCACACATTAATGTGTACATACAGTCTGTCGTTTGCTTTACAGACATTAATGATTACCGTATTTTTACAAGTTTGAAGTATGTCCAGTCCTTCACTGTACACAGAAAATGGCTAATAAAGTGTGAACTGTTAGAAACTAAGTTTTTTTTCCACATTGGATTCTTGAAATAAAATATTCTATTTACAAAATCTATATTTGATTTAAAAGTGTTTGTCTTTGACCACTTGTGTATTTTATACATTTATGACGTTGAACAATATGCACTTTTTGTACCAGAGTTATTAAAACAAAGATGAAGGTTATTTTTCAAATAGAATTGCAAGTCTTAGTTCATTTGTGTAGAGAGAGTTCACTGATGTCTGCAGTGGACAAACTTGCAAACTAAAGAGAGAAGCTTTTCCTGAGAGATGCACATCTAGAGCTTTGAAGTTACAGTTATCTGGTTTGGGCTTTGGGCCGCCATAGATGGATAGACTTTGCAAGTTCTCCCAACGTATTCCTGCGGATAGGTGTGTGATATAGATTGTTGAATTGTGCAAGATTTCCCCTTTCAATAACTTTTCTTTTTTTTTGGGATGGGGTACGTTTAACCACCCTGTTTAATTTTCTTTGGACCAAAGCAGATGCAAGTCTTCCAACAGCATAAAGTTTATTTTACTACATAAAGTTGCAAAATAAAAAATGCTGCATCTTCCTTGATAGAGGTAAGTGTTTTAATCCTACTGAAAACAGAAGCACTACCAAATTATCTCTGTTCATACCCTAACACATTTGGATTCCAAAGAGAAGAGTTACTATGAACTTATTGTATTATGTATTATTGTATTATTGTCTCTAAAAACCCATTTGACAATGCTTTAAACTCACAATTTAACTTTGATTGAAACAATTTTAGATCCTGATTGACTTTTAAATCCAAAATATGGTGGATATGCATAATAATGATAAATAATTATCATTACTATGCATAATATAGAACTGAAAACAAACCAACATTATCTAGTTAATTAGCTGGGCTCTGGGCTGCTAACTAGCCTGCATTCATCTAATTTACAGATAGGCATACTCTTTACATACACTAAAACACTTTACATACACTCATTTGCAAGCCATAAAACTGAGCTAGCATTATTTTAATAAGGCAGTAGGGGAGATATTCATTAAGCCTCCGCATCAATAACATATCTTGACATATTTACAAATTGATTAATTTTCTTTCTGGTAAAGACATTTTCTACTAATAACAGCCCCCATCTTTACTACAATGGATAGTACAGTAGATCAATTCAAAACTGCTCCACTGGGGCAGCTGTGGCTCCATGCGGAAGAAAACTTCTGACTTTTGAAAAGCTGTGAGTTTGGTTCCAGATCTACAGCCGCAATATGTAGAAAGTCACAGTCCCGCTTAGATGAAGAGCAAAAATTACAGCATCTATTTTAACCCTGATAGAAGTGTAGTGTTTCAAAATCTTTCCAAAATAGTAAAAAAAAAAAAAAAAATCCACTGGACTTTCGTTTCCAAGTTTGAAGACGTTTAGCTTCTGATCCAGGAAGCTTTTTTAGTTCAATATGTCAGAAATGGCATTGAGTTTCAAATTCTTGCTTTACTACGAGGCAATTGTTTTGTACAGCTACAAAATAAGCTGTAAATAAATAATATATAAAAGAAAAACAGAAAATTTAGTTCAAAAAGCATAATTAAGGGAAGGAGAGGAAAATCTGGTTTGAAACATTATTCTAGAGTAATGTTATACATGTGAAACCACGATATGCAGCAACTGGAGCATTATGCTTACTGCATGGCCTGCATGGTTTATGCTGGGGAATCTTTGGAATACAGCCAGCACATCAAAGAAAAACCCCAGCAGCATTTTGGATTAAATGCAGATGATTGATTGATTTCTAGGCAAAGCTGTGAAACACTGTCACAGGTATGCTTAATCTCACCAATGAGAGCTTTTAAATCCTTCGGTAGGCTGCAGGGTGTTATTTTTCAGGCTACCCCTCTCTGACTTCCTTTAACAAACAATCCCCAATTAAACATTCAATTTCTCAATTTAAATTGGAGATGCAAATGATGCCCAAATCTGCTTTAGTTATGTTCTGTTCTCTCTGCTGATTTTTTATACCTTTTTCAAAATGTAGGAAATGAATAACTTTAAAGCAGAACCCAACAAAGCAAAAAATTAATAAAAAAGAACAACACCAAATTTGTTGCCACCACCTTTAATCTTGTGTTTAATTTCCAAGAAAACATTCTTTTTGCCACAATCATGGGCAAGACCTTTATTGTTACACGTCTTTGTCACTAGGATCTAAAGTCATTTCTCAGCAGGCTTACCATGATGCCTCTTCTTATCAAAAGATCTTGTTGGACAAGATTCCTGATCGAGACGTTTTCCAGTCAGCTGCTGTTCGCTCACATTTTTTTGCTTCATGAAGCTTCTCATTCCACCAACTCATACCCTTTTCTAATTTTATGCCCCATTGTAATTGATAGAGAGCTTTAACCAAAGATGATTACAGGCTTTTAGATTAGGAGTAGTCAGGTTACCCTGTAATACACAAAAAAATGTTTGCATTTATCTTTATTCTTTGCTGAACAAACATAAATGTTTCTGTCTGCACACGTTTTGCACCCATTTAACTGATTATGGCAACTCTAACCCTGACAAAATGTATATAGCTCTACAGAAATGCCTTTACAACATTGTTTAATAAAATATTTATGCAATATTCATCATGTTGGACTTTATGAAATTTTGCCACGGTAAAATTGAATTAGATACATCCTTAGGAGATATCTATAGAACATGGATAATAGGGATAGAAAATGCTTTACTTTAACCGTTTTATGTGTACTTTCCTAATAAAAACTTTATGTTTAGACATTAGGAAACACGGAAGATTGTCCAAAAAACTGAGTTGTTTTACCACGTATGTGTCGGCTTTCATGCACTCCAGCTTTGAATAATGTGTGAAGATTAGAATCAGCAGTTTAACTGCACGAGGATCAGATGTGTTAGCTTTGTTGTAACAAGCGTCATCATGTTTGGTTTATTTTTCTGGTTTCTAAGGAGTGGCTGACGATTAGAGAGTAATCCTTGAAAGGCCTCCCAAGTAGGAAGACGATGATCATTCAGTTTCAAGCATCCTGCATGCCGAGCTGAGTGAGTCTTTAGTCATCTTGGTGGATAGAGGGTTTTCACAGTAATAGAATACATTAAGTAATGTTGTGCTTGGAAGCAGTTGTAATTCATTTAGAATGGGCACATATTTACAGTCTGTGGCACCCGAGGACCCCTAGCATTGGAGCTTTTTATTGCTTAGAAAAATCTGCAGCATCTTGAAACTGGTTAAATGGATTTATAAACCGTGTATGCTACAGCACCAAATGAGGAAGAGGGCAAACCAGAAGCATTATTTATATATGACTGAGACAAAAAGCAAGGGAAAAGCAGCTTCTGGCTGGGAATAGGAGAAGTATGTTTGCAGATGCTAAACGTTTGTTAAAAGTGGGCCTGTTGGAGACTGATCAAAGACCTCTGATATTTTTTTACTAATTCTACATCCATCCATTTTTCATCACGCTTATTCCTACTGGGTCACGAGCAGTGCTGGTGCAATTGACAGCCTATATCCGGCTGTCAATGGGCAAGAGGCAGCGTACACCCTGGACAGTCTATCGCAGGGCAACACAGAGACAAACAGGACCAACGATCATTCACGCACTGACTCACAGCTAAGGAGAATTTAGATAGGCCAATTAACCTCAGTCATGTTTTTGGGCTGTGGGAGGAAGCCGGAGTAACCCACACACGCACAGGGAGAACATGCAAACTCAACGCAGAAACAACTTGGGTCATGAATCGAACCCGAAACCTTCTTGCTCCAAGGCAGCGGGGCTAACCACTGTTACACTATGCAGCCCATATTTTTTACTCATTGTATGTTAGAAATCTACACCGTGTTAATGCACTTTAAGGTATTAAGCCGCAGCTGTACATTTCTTTTATAGCAGATAAATGAAGATTTTTGTTATACCACACAGGTCAGCACAATGACTGAACTCAATCCATTATTTATGTCTACTCTCAAGTGAAGTCACATAATATTTTTGATTAATATCCGCTGAGATGCATCAATCTAGTTGTTGTCATTAATGCAAAACACTTTGAACATCAGGGCTGATCACCTAAAGGCTAATTCAGGTGTGTTTATGTGGGAGGAGTTAGGTTACCTGGTGCTGCAGGTTGGTGTTGTGGAAGACTGACTCCAGAGATGGAGAAGATGAGGTTTCTCTCAGTTGATAAAGAAAAACTGGTCTGCAGGGGTTAACTGATTCACACACAGCACACAAGAAGGGGGCAGGAGGGCACTTCCTGCCAGATAAAGGGGGTTTGTTTCAATGCGCTCCCTGATTGGTTAACGGGGTCACAACTGAGGCCAGAGACAGGGGGTGACTTAGTGGACCCTGACCGAAATCTATGCGTGTCTCCGTCTGTTGGGGATGTTAAATAAAGCTTTGTTCAGGTGAGTTTCACACAGAGGCAGCAGATGGTTGGATATCTGTGAGAAGAGATTTACCTTCACCTGAGACAGGCAGACCTGCGCAGGTGTGGGTGTACATCATGTACCGGCCGTCTTCTGTAGCTAATCAATGGCAATTTTATGGTAACCACAAACTAAACCAATTAGAAGTCTCATCAGCTGTGATCTTGTATTTTAATTGATTATTTACAATTTCAACAACAATAATCCTTTACTTGCATGTCTGTTTTATTTGCCTTGATAATAGATTGTTGATTCAACTATTTATTTGATGCACAAAACTTCTCAATTTGAAGTTGTTGTTTTTCTACTTTAA